CATTCCCACCTCCTATCAAGGAATTCAATTCCTCCAAAAAACAAAAGGAAGTTTGAATTCCATATTTTATGTGGGCCCCACACAGTCTAATTTCTCAATATCTTAATAAACACAAGAATGATCCGTAATTAGAATTAGACTTCTTATTCTCATTCCGATTACGGATGCGTAAAAACGCCCTAATATCTCTCTTAATCTTAGAATACGTGACTAGATTAGCTCTCGCACCGAATGTGACCTGTTTTAAATAAGATAGAACTAAACTTGAACAATATTTATGATTTTGTAAACGGCACGTACACAATAAGGTGGTCGTACACCGCTACTTAAGTTTTTCAGATATTCAAGATTGGATTTTATCTTTTGTTCAGTCCCCATCAGTTTATACACGTTATATGATCTCCCCACTTTCTTTCACAAATTGACAAGTAGGGTCCCATCTCAGGGAGGCCATTATCCTGTTACAAAATGTTGACAAACAAAGGAATTGATGGTAGTTGGTGGTGACAATCTTGGCATTAAACAAAACTTTATCCACAGTTATGATGCGTGACAACGTTGGCCTAATTGGTCTTTCTTTATGCTTAAAAGATGATGACTTTTAATTTTAATGGTAGAGATATTCCATCAATACAATGCCTTGTTGTATCATGATTACGGGTAATTAATTTGTTAATACAATTACTAATACTGCTATCAGAAGTCGTGTTTGCGATCTTAACGTCTATGCGCCAATATTTACTGATCTTTACATAACATAAAGTGGTCATGCGAGAAAATCTGTTATATAATCAATTGTATACGATAATGTGTGTATTAAAGACAAAGTAGATTGCAAAATAGTGGCTTCTTGTATTATGAATAAGGGTAATTAATTTGTTAATGCAATTAAGGCTCACTATATTTTCTACTCTGAACATGACAAAGGAGGGTCCTTCGAGAAAACCTCTCAAATTGTTGACATTATACCTAATACTGATATACGCAGGCCACGTGTTTGCAATCTCAACCTCTTGCTCGTTATATTTGATGATTTTTACATGATGGAGGCTGATCAAGCAAAGAAAATATGCCCAGTCATTCATTGGATATAGTTTCTTTTATTGTGACACGTATATTTGAGAGAGAGATACGCTCGTTACAAGACAAGAAAGAAAAACAAAAGTTGTACCTTGACTAGGTTCCTTTGGCTTTTGGAAGGGTGGCAATTCCAAATTATAGAAGGAGAATCGTTTTTAACTTTTTACCCGTCTTCAGATTGTAGCAATAGAAAGTCCGATGTTGGGTAAAATTGGCTATGCACGTTGTGCCCAAACAAGCAACTTTTCATTGTTACTTAACAGTTTTTTAACTTACTTGTTTTAGAGAATTAGGACTCCCATATTAGACCGGGAAATTGATTGTGCTACCAATAATATAGGAAGCAAACTTTTACAATAGGTCGGAAAATTTAAGTGATACGAGAGTGAATCTCATGAGTGTAATACTTATACAATATTGTAGATGGGGTCCTGTATTTAATATATAAAACTCATCAGTATCAAACTCACACCACTAAAACAATAGTGTAATACAAATTAAATTCACGATGGCTAATTCTTACGTATGGTATCACATTCACCTAAATTACTGTAGAAGGCTTAGTCGATCAAATTTAACCTTTTCTTTTTGGGAAAAACCAGATCAACCTTTTACCTATTGCATGTTTCTCCAAACAAAGAAAAAAAATGAGCGTGATTGATCAGACAATAGTGTGCCAAGTGTTGCTATAAGTAGTAACAGTGTAACATGCACCCATATGGGTGTCTAGAGGACCCCTTCCTTTACACATTAAAAAGAAAGAAAAAGAGCAAATCGATGGAGAAAAGTTGTGGGTTTTTTAAAAGCCTAGACATGCCTCAATCATGATTTTTCACCTCTTTCACATGACAACGATTTTTACGACACAGGTGCATTGTCATTGTATTGTCCCCACATTGTATTTTACGTTTTTCTACACGCGACTTTATCTCATTGACACAAGACGACTCAGTTACAATCTACCTGTATCATGTAGATTGCTCTTCATATTACCAGATCACATAACAACTGTGTATTGGACAAATAATACACTTTATGGACCAACTTTTTGCAGCTGAAATTGCGCCTGCGTGCTTTCTGGCCATGGCAACCAAGTGTGGCATTATGCCTCTCATATAACTCATGAGTGAAGAGAGAGGGATGAGGCAGGCACATTGGGGCCTCCATGCTGTCGAGTATCAGCAGAAAAGCTCACATGGCCTAGCAAGCAATTTTTCTGTGATCTAGCCCAAATCTTTCAAACAATAATATAACCAAGCAAAAATAATACAATTATTAAAAGAACGAATTTAAGGACCTTGTTTGCAATGATTAATTACATGGATTAGGTCAAATCACCATTCATCTATATGTTTGACATGAACACATGCGCTTATGCGTGCATAAGCTTGATCGAAGAACATGGTTTGGGACGCGAAATTTTCAAGCGCACTGCGTCGAGGCACTAATACACAGATGAAACTAGTATGAAAATGAGATTTATATGATTCTTGTGAGTGACCGACGCAATGCGTTGGGATACATAAAGGATTGATTTCAACGGAAGGATTGTGTTGAAATGATGAAGCAGTGAGATATTAGGGTGCGTTTGTTTTACCGGATTATCTCAAACTGGACTAACTGAGGGATTAAGCTAGACTGGCTTAGAATAGACTAAGGGGTGGTTTGGGAGTGAGGTGCTTAAAAAAAAGCACCCATGAAAAAAAGCTGTGAGGGTTTTAGGTGTTTGGTAAACTAAAAAAAAAGGCTTATTTTGGAAGCTGCTGTGAGAATAAGCTGAAATCAAAGGAAAAGCTGAAGCAGTTATTTGCTGCTTTGGAAAACTGGCTTTTTTTTCAAAGCACACGGAGCTACAGTGCTCCTTTAATGAAAAGACCCACGCCGGACTTGTGGGCGAAGATCGAGTCGACGATAAGGGAGGAGATCGAGTCGACGATAAGGGAGGAGATCTTGACAGCAAGGGAGGGTTCGGAGGTGGTCATGTCAACGAGGATGCCTCCAGGGTGGAGTCCAGAGAGTGCGCCGATGGTGGGGTCAAGGAGGATGGAGCGGACATCGGATTTGGGTTGTGGGTATTCTAGGTTTGTGGGTTTTCTGTCGAAATGCTTCATGTCCTTGCGAGGGTGCGGTTGAAGACGGTAAGGGTGTCGGCCTTGAGGGTTTTCTGGGTTGTGGGTAGAAGAACTGGAAATTTTCTGATTCGAATGAAGCTCCCAGGCGTTGGGCATCCTTTAAATCTGACCTCGCAAACCCCAATTTGGGGATCTCCAAACCCTAGAAATGGTTTCCTCCGACGGGGGAAAAACCGATCCGAGAGAGAGACTTTTGTGGGTTTTCAGGTTTTTAAAAAAAAAACTCATGTTATATCCTTTTTGGTCATTTCATACAGTCACAGCTGTTTTACATAAAAGTTTGCCAAACACTATCAGACTGTTTTTTTTTCCAAAAGCATTTTTACAAAAAAGTTTACCAAACACTCTGCTGATTCATTTTACAGCCACTTATTCTCACAGCACAGCCGCTTATTCTGACAGTAGTTTTTTTTCAAAGCACATCAATACTAAACCAGCACTAAGTTGGACTAGCTTAGTGAAGTTTGGTGCATTGTCGGACTAAAAAGCAAAATAAATAATATTATATTATTTAATTAATAAATATTAATATTTTATTATTATCCTAGCCTTTTCTCCCTCTTTCTCTCTCTTTTTTTCCCTTCTCCGTCCCACCCTTCCTTCTCCTAGATTAAACATCTCAATTCCAGTCTCTATCTCTCTCTCTTTTTTCTGTCCAACTCCCTCTCGATTCCAGTCTCTCTCTCCTCTCTCCCTCGCTCTAGCTCTGTGTTATTCGACGGAACCTCACATCTCCATTTTTTCCAACGAGTTGCAGGTTTTCCATCATGTTTTCTGGCCAAACCTCGTCGAATTGGATGAGGTTAGCACCACCAACAAAATGCTCACCATCCCTAGACACAGATCGAAGCTTTGCATGCTCGAATCTGTCATGGATTCGAAGAAACTCAAACATGCTGAGACTTCCGGGCCAATTTTCAACCACCTTTTGGCCTCGATTCAGGTAGAAACGGAATCCCCTCACTCCCAACTTCAGTTTGGTATATTTTTATGTGAAAAATGGTTGTGAAACGTATTTGAAAGATAGTCGAATCGGAAAGTTAATGGCAGTGTGTGGTTGAAGGTCACGAGGAGTGATCGTGAGTAGTCGTCGAGCAGGACAAGGATGAGATAGAAGATGGTCTTAGCTAGTCCCATGGTTCTCGAGGGTACTCGCTAAGACCGGATAGTCTTGCCTTTAGTCGAGGTGAGTGAGAGCTAGTGTCACTAAAGCTAATCCTTGTTGGGAACAAACATAAGACTGGACTGACCCTTAATTTTGTCCAGTCCAATGAACATTAACGAGGGCAAACAAACGCCCCCATAGGGTTTAATCATGGACCATTATAGTGTAAGCATGCCAACTTTTATACCAAATTTTTTTCACCCCATGTTAAAGAAAATGCAACCTAACCGCATTTAGAATTTGAGTTTTGTTAGGAGATTAAAAGATAGGAAGCACGTTATCCCTCCACGTGATAAGAGAAGAGGGCACATGTGATGGTGAGGTCTCAATTTTGTAGGGGAGGGGGTCCTTCCAACTTCCAACTCAAAAGGAAAAACTGCAGAACAATGTAGGGGGTGGTGGCACATATACCATCACGTGCCCTCTTCCCCTCTTGTCCACTTCTAATACAATGTCCAACTCTCGGAATACTATTGTGGCGGTATCTGAAACCAATAACATACTTTGGAACAAATTAAAAACATGGTAATGTGCATTGGTTTGCCGTACTGCCACAGTAATATTCCAGGTGCAGGTAGGTAAGTCCTCTTTAACCAGACTATTCGGCCGATTATATCGGCAGGTTGAAGGGAAAATCATGTAATATCTATTGTGCATGCTGAAGATGCTGGTGTTATATGATGATCTGAACTAGAACAAAAGCAGGACTGGAAAACACGAAAACTAACCCCAATCCCTTTTCCATTAGAATACAAATCACGTCGTGTTTCCAGCACAGAACCCGTACACACACGATACACAACCTTTCAAACCCAGGGCCCCTATTAAACAAATCACATCAAGTCACCTTGTTGCAACGACATAATCCTTCAGTTCTATGCAGCGTTCGTTGTAGCATCGGCATGTACTGTGTTTACATCATCTAGAGTCTTGCCGTTAACTTGAGTTCTTTGTCTCTGGATATATATAACAGCAAAAAGTTTGTAAGATGGTTGCCCAGATCACAAAATGGTGCTGATATGATGATATCAATAGAATTTACTCAACATGAAGATTCACTATACCCGATCAGCAGGGTCTCCGACAATTCCATTCAATAGCTTGTGGTTCTCTTCTTTGGTCTTACCATCCTTGTCCTTTGTGCTTAGCGGTAACAAGAGAGATGCAGCTCCGTTGGTCCGGTCAGGTAATTCTGCAATTATAATTATGTTATTAACACTGCTCATTGGTTGGCAACCAAAAATATGGAGAAAACAGAAAAAAAACAAAAAACGAATGGAGGCGTCCTAACCTGCCAATTTCTTGTCGATAAAGAATACGACCAAATTAACAGTATACCTGCAGAAGATCATATTGTTCAACCAAATAAAGAAGTTAGAAACAATACTTACATGCTTTTATAACATAGATAAAGATGAAAGTATGCAAAAATCTCCTACCATGCAACAACAACATCAACCGTGTAATGTTTGCGCGATGCCACAATCAAGAAACTCTGGATCACAACGAGTAACCAAGCTAACTGCTTTATAAACCTGCATCGATCAACAAATCAAAAGCAGCACATTTATCTTAGCAGTACGTCAAATAACAACCACTTAAAATTGATGTTAGCCATGAAGCAAAGCTATGCTTACCTTTGTGTACCGTATTTCTGATAAGTGCGCACAAAGACTAGACTAAATATCATATGCGATGAGAAAATCAAATCACCACAACCATAAAGTACACCATGCGGAACTGCATATTTAGCAAACACAAATCAGCACAAAGACGTATTATGCGAAGCAATGTGCCAAATGCCCAGATTACAAGAAGATACTTACTGATCAAGAAGACTTCTAATACACTTTCCGGAGGAGGCAGCCTGGCAAGTTTAGAACCCTGCACAATTAAAATAAAGCTTCTTAGCTTATTACAACATACGGAGGGTTTTGTACCCCGCCAATTGAGAAATAAATTCAAACATAAATAAAATGTAATCTCTACTCTCTACTACATCCTAGGGTATACAACAAAACCGACAAGAAGGTAAACAACCAACCTACCTCTCGACAATGGTAATTTGGACCAGGAAGCTGGGTGGAATAGAATGTGATAATCCGCAGAAATTGACAAGCCTGCAATAAACAGTGGAAACTGTCAGAGTAGGGAATATATTTGTTGAATCCCCGTGCCTAGACTACTACATGATTATGACTATAAAACATGGGTTCACGGCACAAGTTAAATGACAAACCCTTATTTTCTTTTTTGAAAAACAAATTTTTTTTACCCGATTTATCTCTCTAACAGCACTTAGAAAAGAAAGGAACTCATGAAATGACGCAAAATTGGCAGAAAAAAATGGAAATCTTATGGTTCAAAACATCAAATGAACTATAAGAACAAATTAACTGTCATAATTTTCTTATGAGTTCGTCAGACAAGGTACAAGCTAATGTAAATGAAACAAAAAGTTCACATATCAAACCAAAATGAACCAATATTTCTCAGTTTTATCACAGAACTAACTTCTCAAAACCTGTTATCACCACTTACCGATAAGAATGCTAGAACCCTACACCAGAGGAGAACTGTGTAAATCTTTTTGCCCTTGAAAATGAAAGGATGGAAGGTCCACTGCAACAGAACATGCACCACATGAGGAAAAATATAAATAAAACTGAACTTTTCTGTAAAGCACACAAGCTTGACTGGTACTTGTTAGAGAATAAACCACAATAATAGTGCGCAATAAGATGAAGACATATTAATAAATCAAAGGAAAAGACACCCTATAAAGTTCATAGGGAATAAAATTAAAACCCTAAATTTTTTATTTTTTTTTTTATAAGAAAAATTAAAACCCTAAATGGACAGCAGATAACATGTTAAATTTAAGTGCTCTAATTTAAAAGATAGTATTGCATAAAACACGCCTAAACTTTTAAAACTTAAAAGGAAAAGAAGAATATTAAATAAAGAAACTATCAAAAGGGAGGAAAAACGTCCCATAGCGTTTTCTGTTAAAGAAATTGGGAAAACTTAATCAGGAAAACACTATTAATTCTGAAGCGCGTAGGTTTTAGTGCTGTAGAAGAACTGCTTCTGATTAAGTCACCACCAAATAATGTTTCATTTCACTTTTATATCCTGGCCTTCTGAACACAAATACGCATCATAGTTAACAGAAGAATCAATAGTCATTGAAACGAAAAACACTTTTTAATCAACATTCAAACAATAAATCATCACATCTCAATGTGTAAATTACAATATTGGACTTGATGCCTTCCATGCATCCTAATATCAGAAACAACATGTATTTTGTTTCACACACCGTTTTCTCCAATATATCCACAACCACAACTCCCAACGTTGAACAGAACACCGGCACATGTAATTAAGTGATAGAGATGAAAGCAATATGACAAAGACAACATAGAAGAACCTTACCAATACAAAAGATAAGAAGATGAAGGTGAAAAGGGTCTCACTGATGTAGGCTCTGTCTTGCCCAAGTTCCTACAAAAACACCAAAACTCATTATTCCAAAATACCAAAAAATAAATATAGGAAAGCACTTTGTATGATCAAATTCACAGTATATAGTTTCAAAAAGAAAAAATGATAGGTACGAACTGGAAGAAGAAAGAAACCAGCATCCTGGAGCGTTGGCCCGGGCCGATGTATATAATGAACTCCTCGAGCAGCTAGACCATGTATGTACTGCAAATGAAATAGACTTGAAATATAAAGATCACATAGCAAATTATCAACATGAGAAAAAGATTAAAAATCGCAACGATCACACGGGAACTTTTCTCATCTATTCTGAAACTCATAGAAACCCATCAATCATTGGAGATGAAATTTGCTAGAACTTCAAGTTTAACACTAATCACACTAATAAACTTATAGGAACTTCCTACAATGCTCAAAAGTATACATCTTCTCTCAAAGTTCACAATGCAACCAACCATGATCGAAACTTTCTACCAAAACCAACTTCCCACTTTCTCTGTTCTCTCCATCAAAGCGAAAATCCCATCTTGCTAAATCCCTTGTCCAATCAGAAAAAACCCAGCTGACCCATTTTTCATCATCCTCAACAAAATTCACCTGAACCCTCCGAATTTCAAAAACCCAAAAAGGTAGACGAATAGAAGAACAAAGAAGCACCTGAAAAACTAGACCGGCGAGAAGATACTTCCAATTCGTGGCGAGGAGATTGATCTCGGTGACTACCTCAGCGCAGATTCTCTTCCAGAGCTTCGCAAATCAGACCCCCAAAAAAGAAAAACAGAAAGAATGACCACCATCAGTAAAGAACAAATAAAGCAAAAACTCAATTTTTTTTTAAAATTAAAAAAGGGAAAAACAAAAGGGCATTACTGCAAAGTGAATAAAAAGAGCAAACCTTTGACGACTCGCGGCCAATGTAAAGCGTCATCTTCTTCCACTCGTTGTTGTTATTGTTCTTGTTGTTCTTATTGACGCAACCACAACTTCCATATTATTTCACAAGTTCAACACCTCCATGATTGATTGCTGGGCACCTCCAGAATCGAATCGAATGCCAGGAGGAAGACGAAGGGAAGCAACACGGGGTCGTTTTATAGGTGGGTTCTGAAGGGGATCACGGATTGCGACCTGGAGATCCGAGAGAGAGCATCCAACGCGTACAAATTTTGATGAATCGCGAAACGGAAGAGGAATAAGAAAAGGGAAAGGCTTTTGAAATTTTGATTCCTGCTTTGCTTTCTCTTTCTAGTTCTCTCTCTCCTTTGTGTTTGGCTTCCGTCTGTCGAGTAGTGCTGGGCCACCACGCGAGTTGAACACGCGGGCGACAGTTGAGACAGAGAGAAAAGTACTACCACCAAATTCAATTCAATTCAAATTCCAAATCCCAAATCCAAATCCAAATCTCCCTCTCTCTCCCTCTCCTCTTTCTCTCTCTACAAACGCAAACCTCAAAGATGGGAGAAAAGAGAGCGAAATGGAGAAGGGAAAGAAGAAAAATCCCTCCTTTTTATTTTAATTTACTGGAAATCGCCGACCCCTCTCTCTCTCGTCACTTTCTCTCTCTTGTTCTTAACAGTAATTTTATTTTTTATTTTGTTTTCTAAGAAGGGAAATAAATAAATTTTGAGAAAACGAGGTAAAAGCAGATATTCTCGTTCTCGAAACAGTAACTGTAACTGAATGTTGCGGTTTAAAAAGTATAATAAATAAAAGAGGGGCGGCAATTTTTTATTCTTTTTGAAAAATGATAGTGAGTTTAGTTTCATGATAAATTAACGATGTTGTAGAATAAATTTATATTTGACGAAAATTAAATTTAAAATTTCTTATTTATAAATAAAATAGAATACTGTTAAAATATAATACTAAGTAGCAGAGGGATAATAATTTTGTATCACAGTTTTTTCTTTTACTGTTGAGGAAGGCGGTAAATAAATAGTCCGGCCACGGCCTGCTCTAATTTTGTTTTATTTTCTTATATTTCTTTTTATAAATTCAGATTTATGAAATTACTAATTTTTTTGTTTAGTTTCTTAATCAAACGATTTATGGGATCAAGTTTGGAGGCTGTGGCCAACTTACGATTATGTCCTTGATTTTAGTGGGAAATGACTGACTCTGGTCCCCGCCGTTTGGGCTCAGTAAACGATGATAACGGACTCACTGGTCCGCTCATTAAATTTAAAATTTTCATTTCATTAAAAAAAATAGAATTTTAACAAAAAACTTCTGGTACTGTTCATTTTAACGAAAAATCACATTTTTACACTAAAAAGTCAATCATGATACTATTCACTTTACCCTTTATTTTGTCTTTATCGTTAAAACTCAAAGTTTTCAATCATTTTTCATTAGTTTTCCTTAAAAAAAATGGACATTAATCCTCTCTGAATCCATGTATCATAATCCACCAAATCTATGTATATGGATCATTGAAATTTGATCCAACGACTATAAACAGCGGCCCACTTTAAAAGTTATAATAATTTTAGTTGTTTGATCAAATTTCAATAGTCAATGAATTTGGTGGTTTAGGATTTCCGGATCCATGTCCAAAAAAAATGTTGGAGTTTCATTATTGATTAATTCCATTTTATTATATTAATTCTTGGGTTAAATACTGAAATTGGTTCTATCCTTTTCCTGGGGATCCTAGGGATCTCGCAACCGTGTTCGTTCATCGTACATCGTGAAATTATAAATTATTTTAAATTTTAAATTTTAAATTCAAATATAAATAGTACCTAACGAAAATTGATAGTACAATGTACAATAAAAGTACACGACTGCGGGATCCCTAGGATCCTTAGGAAAAGAATCCGGCGATGATCCAACGAGGATCCTTTTCCCCAATTAACTACCTAAAGTTTTTAAAAAATGACATTTGTTAGGTTTACTAGTGCTAAGTGATGATCTGGACAAATATTAAAACGTATTTTAATTCTGAAGTCATCTATGAAGCTTTTAATATCCAAATTGATGCATTTAGCTACGTAAATTTACTATTTAACTTGACTAAAAATGGTCAATTTTGGGGATTAGAGCTTCAAAAAAGACAATTAGTGAAAACTAACTTCAGTATTTATCCATCTCATCATTTAATGCTAGTAACGACTTCACCTGATATTGATAATGTTCTCACTTGTCCAATTTTTAAAACATTAGGTAGTTAGTTGGAATATTTTAAAAGATTGAGATCAATTTAGAATCACTCTAAAATGTTGCGTAGTTATCTATACTTAACCTTTAATTCTATTCATGCCAATAACAATTTAGACTAATTTGGAATCACTTTAAAATGTTGCGTAGTTAACCCTTAAATCTATTCATGCCAATAACAATTTTAAGTAAATTTTAAAGATTTAGGGGGAAAAAATGGAAGTGAAAAATGGGAAGCAAGCTAAACACGTAGAGGGAGTATTTTAAAATGACTGAAAGCGTTTTTAGAGAAAATGTTTTTGAATTCAAAAAACACTTGAAGTGCTTGGTGCTTCTCAGAAGAAGCACCAGTTATATGATTATCACTTCAAGTGATTTCCAAGATTCACTTGCATTTTATTAAAGATAGGTTTCAAAAATATTTTCACTAAAAGCACTTCCAAGTATTTTAAAAGCATTCTAAATGAGCCCTAGAACAGTTACACGTTTTAGAGAGCATATTTTAGGGTTCCAAAAGCACTTGAAGTGCTTTTTGCAAGAAGCATTAGTTATGTGCTTATTTCAGGAAACACTTTAAGTGCTTTTCCAAGATTTACTTGCATATTTACTAAAGATTGGTTCCAAAAACATTTTCACCAAAAACGTTTTCAGTCATTTTAAAAGTATATCTAAACGAGCTACATATATATATAAAACAACGGAATAAACATTTTTAGCCCAAAATAAAAGATAACCCGATGCATTCTATCCCAAACTCAAATATGAAGATTTGAAACCAGATATATTATCTTTAAAAGATGCGTGTCGTTTCAAGCTAGGTAAAAGGCCCCGACAAAGTAAGGGGTTGATTGACCACTTAGTAATACGGTCTAGTCAAATTCTTTTTCATTTGTAAGTGAGAGATTTTAGGTTTGATTCTCGCCAAATACGAATTTGAACTACATTATTGCTAGCACATTGTGAAGAGCCCACTCATCTCCCTTATGGTAGATAACATCGTTTGTTAAAAAAAAAAAGAAGTAAAGGGTTGATTGGTGGTGGGAGTTTAATTTTCAAGTCCACGTAACATGAATGTAAATTACCATATTTTGAAACAAAACCTTTACACTTGAGACTACTAATATGTGACAATGCAGGCACTGTGGAGATTACCTCCTACCCATGTCCTATGATGAAACAGTGATATCTGCAATGTATGTAGGATAAACTTTGCTTTTAATGATTCTTATACTTGGAAATAACAAGTGGGGTATTGCAAGATACTCTTAATAGGAAGTCACCTATCTGGAGTGAGGAATAGGGCCGTTTCTGTGAGAATTTTTTGAAGGGCTTAGTTCTCTAAAAGCACTCATAAGAAACCAAGAATTATTCAGGGTAAAAATGAACACAACCGAGCAACCATGGGGTGTCTAGAAAGGTATTGTGTGATTACTATTGTCTTGGTTTGCACAAACGACTGAGCAGTTCAAGACATCGCGTTCCCTGATTAGTTAAGTAAATCCGATAGTAATTCACTACGGAATGTTCAAAGCCAAAAGCCACATATCCCGATGTGGTACTTTTCCTACCGAATTCTCTCTTTAGTGTCTGCATTGTCATTTGCATGGTATTGAGTCAATTTTCATTCATGTGGGAAGTTGTTGGAAAATTTAATAATATTATTATTATATTAAATTTATTAATTGAATGGAAATTAGAAATAAATCCTTTTGGTAGAAATATATGTCTACTTAAATGAAGTGTTGCAATTTTTGAATCTTCATGAATAGTCACATACTTTCCAAAGAGGTATCTCACATTCTATAAATAGGGAAGCCCCTATAATCACTTAAAATAACTTGCATTCTTTATATAATCATACATAGAGTGCACTAAATATTAGAGAGTCTCATTGAGTACATATTCGAATTTGAAGTTTCTTTTTTCTTTCTTTTTGCTACTCAGTTATTTATGGGATTGTTGTTATTTGTATTCTGTATTGATTTTCTATTTTCTTGTGCCATATTTTTCTTGGTTCAAAAAGATTAATTTCATTAAAAAGATGAAGAAATACAGTTATTGTGATAGATAAGCAGTTTCACTCTTTAGGGCAATGATAGCTAAGTTAAATGGATAATAGATAATTATTGTCTTAATGGATAGTAATTGTCTAAGTGCATTTTTATCCTGTAAATAAATTGTTCAGGCAGTTGCATAAATAAAAAGATAATATTATGTTTAAATCGGGATAAAAATTTTAATCAATCTCGTAGCGCCGCATGCCATGATTTAGTAATAATTTTGTCTAATTTATAGTGTAAATTTTTTTAAACATTTTTTTAACCAAATCACAATAATTTTTTTTTTTTTTTTTGCAATCTGACAACCTAGGTTGTGCTACATGAGCACAACGGCTAGTAGGATTTTTTTCTTCTTTTTTTATTCTTTCGATTTTTTAAATATTTTATCCCTAAAAATGATAGATTAATAAGAACAATTGGTTTCATTTCTAAGACATACTGTAACCCTTATCGTAAACTCAAATTTTAGTGACTAAACCTATTCCAACTTGCTCAAACTCTTGGGCCAAAAATGAGTTTTAACAGAAAACCCATTTTTTGGGGTAAATTCAGCCCATAATTACTTCCTGTTTTAGTGGTCTGACCCACAATATATGTGTATTTTTTTAGTTGCTAGGATTTAATATGATTAAATCTAAAGGTAAGGAAAGTTGGAACCGTTGAAATTTAAATCTAACGGCTAAAATAATTAAAAAAAATTATTTGATGTGTTTTACAAATTCATTGAATCCAATGACAAATATCTAATTTAGAAAATTGAAGTAATGGTTCTTTGGTTAACTTCCATCCAAAATAAGTTTAAGTGGACAAAAAATGAATAGAAGTTCTAACGAAGTTATGACAAGTTCAGAAACTAATATTTACGAAATTTTTATTCAATAACCAAAGCTCAAATTAAGTTTACATTTAGGAACTATTGCTCTGATTATCTCAATAATATAATCAAAAGAAAAGAAACAGTAAATAGGAAAGGGTAGTTTGGTCATATGACCATAGCAACGTGCGGAGGGGCAGAACAAAATGGACTGAAATTAGGAGGGGGAACCTAATCAATATGAGTGAATGATTGGTCAAAGACTCGAACGTCGTTGGGGGTTAAGGTTGAAGACAATAAACGGCCACGGCGACTTCTTCCACGTGATTGCAACGTGTCACGTGCCAAGGAGGCCCAAGATTCCCATATATATCTATGTGCCCTTCCTCTCTTTTTTTATTTTTTATTTTTTTTTGACAAACTGAGAACTTTCATTAATAAAAACTAATACAAGAAATGGAAGGCTCGGAGTCAAGCCATATACAAGTAAAAGCTACAAATAAAAACAACCGACAAGCTCATAAAGAGCAAGCTTACATCAACAAAAACCCTAGATCTGAAAGAAAACAAACTCCACCACCCCAGCTGCGCCGCCATCGCCGATCCGTCACCCCCACCAAGAGAAAGAACCCACGAACAAACTGGATGAACGGAAAATGGGGGTGAGCGAGCCACCCCCCGCAAAAAGTGCTTCCATTATCCTACCAAATAGTGCTAAACGCACTTTAAAAACCACCCAACACCAAGGTGCACTGCCAGAATGAGACACACCATGGGACGAGTAGCGGAGGTCGGCGGGGAAGGATTGACGACGGGGAGAAACATCGGGGGTAAAAAAGGGCATAAAACCCAAAACTGAGACAAGCTTAGAGAGGTTGAGACAAGGCTCAAAGAGGCTAGAGAAACGTAGGAAAGAAAAGTAGAGAAATAAAGGAACAACAACAGTGAAAAGGAAAAGAAACAGAGGGAAAGAAGAGGAGTCCCTCGGCCCATGAGAGAAAGAGGAAGAAACTATGAAGCGAATCCCAGGGAAGAAGGGGAAGGAAGGAAAGGATGAGGGGGTGCGGGGAGAGAAAAAAGATCAGATGGAAGGAAAGGAAGAGTGGGGAGCGGGGTGAGAAAGAAGATCAGAGGGTAGAGAGGAGGAAGAAAAGGGGTAGCAGCAAGGGGATGCCTGCCGACCCCAACCAGAGAAAGGAGTCGGCGACAAAGGCTGGGGTTTGGGGGTTTCTGCGAGAAAGAGATCTATGTGCCCTTCCTTAATTTGCTTATTATTAGTGCTATTATATTACATTTAATTGTCAATTAATTATTGTATGGCAAAGACAGGTTCAAAACATATATAGCTATTAGATAATTAGATCTACCCATCTACCAAAACCCTAATTTTGTCACAACATAGAGATTAAAATATCACGTACATATATTGGTACTTCGAGTTTACGAAAATATTGGTTCTAGTATAAGTATCAGTAAACAATGCGATTCTGATAGTTTTTGGTAATGTTATTCATAGTCATGGTTACAGTTTTTTTTACTACGTAGTTTGTACTTTGGTAACTAGCGTGGAACGATAATTTACATACTACTTAAAAAATTCTAGAGTTTTGGGAGGCTTGTTATTGGCTCCTTGATGTAGTTGAATGGACAATGATGTAGTCTTCCATTTGTTAGGCTTCATCAGCTTCTTGGTGTCAAAGCTAGGCAAGGCAAGGGGACAACTTAACAAACCACTTGGTGGTGCACAACGAATAGTCAATTTACTACCTTAACAAATATGTACTTTGCAATTCCACAATTTTGGGTGAAATTATTTCAAGCTTTTTCCTTAAGAGTACCCTCTTTTGCCCACAACCTTGCAAAAGATGAAAGATCCCATTGTCTGCCAAATAATGTACTTGGGCGACACCGACATACCCCTACCCCCACCTCTCTATATTCTTAGGACTCATCACATGACTTGGAAGACTCGTTACATGAAGAAGTCAAGAGCAAAATTGGAAATTTATAAAGAAATAATAGCATACTTTTTTAATTTCTCACATACTCTTGTTAAACCAAGTCTGTTGATTTGTTTGATTTATCAAATTCAACGACCAAAAGTTAAAACAAATGTATGAGAAGATAAAAAATGTGTGTGTTTGCCATTTCTCGTTTTGTATAAGGCTAGGCTGATATCTATAGAGCATGAAGTGTAGATTACATTTAAGATGAGCTAAAACCCATGAGAGCCTATAGCAAGCTCCGTCCTTGTAAGTCATTTTTATAAAGAAACGAAAATATATCAACATCAACAACCTAGTGTTTGCCGTTTATTGGCGGAGATTATAGCATACAATCAGAAACATATCTCCTACAATAACAAAAAAAAAAACTCCCGCTTACTAGATGCCATTCGTTCCATGAAAGCTTCAAGAGCTTTCCAATTTTGACCACATCTCTATCTAGACTTTTGAATGTACGGATGGCGTTCTTCACAAAACTATATTCAATTATCTTGGACCAAAATGTCTTAATTGACGTTTGACAAAGTACAATTTAAGCAACTCGATACAATATAAGTTTGATTGTATAGAAATCTTGGGGGTTGAAAAGTCACATCAAACATGCCATGTGAGAATGTGGGATTAGTCCACCCCTCCAAGTTTAAATAACAAGAAAATTGGTTGTCGATGAAGTAAGTTTGAGCAATTGAAATTTCCTAGAAAAATATAATAAAACATCAAAGCAAATGGATATATTTAATATTTAAGTAGTATTTTGGTATAAGCGTCTCGTTTTTCAATTTCGTTAATTAAACATCTATTCCTTTTAAGAATTTGATTAAATATTTTTTTTCTATAATTTTTTTAGAGGTGTGTCTGATTACCTCCAATAGAATCTAAACATACCAAAGTTGGTACGTTTATTTTTAAATATATTATAAGTTTAAATACATTTTTTTAATATAACGACGCGTAAAATTTTAACAAGTCAATGAAGTTTTCTTAAGAATTAATTAAATTAATATTTTAAAGCCACCAATTTAAAATTCTTAGAATGTTCTGGAGCCATTACGCGATTAAGCTAACTTGTAATTTGTCTTCGGAAGTATCTTTCAAAATCCCTCCTTGTTTCCAGAAAGAAAACGACCTCTTTTCTAGAAGGTCCAGAGTTGGTCTAAAGTTTAGGCCCAGGCCCAAACAAACCTGTCTTGGCCCATTTTATCTTCTTATTGGGCCAATTTTTCTATTCCCTCAAATGCCCTCCGCACCACTCTAAATTTTCCATTTCCTGCAGAGGACTCTCTCTGTGCGAAAAGCCTAAAAGCAGGAGCCTCCGACAGCTCAAAACCCTAGCTCTAAGCCCTAACCCTATATCCTTATCCCTACCCTTTTCATATTTCTAATCATATAATTCTGGGTTGTGCTTGGATTGCAGAAATTCATCTGTTTTCATGGCGCTCCATGGATCTAGCTTCTGCGTAAATGTGAGTTATGCTTGCATATCAATGTCGTTTAGTTTGTATTTTGCTCTGTATGTTCCCCGTTTTGAAAAAAAGATTGGTTCGTAACGTTTGATTAAGTTACTAATTAGCTTCAAAGTGGTTGATGCATGATGATTAAACCAAGAACGCTTATTTGGTATGCATATAAATTTTTTTTTTTTTCAAAGGTACAATTTTATTGTAAACTGCTCTATTGTATGGGGGAGAAGATTCGAACTCTGGTGCAATGTGGCAGGCGCATTGCTTTAACGAACTGACCTAATCCACATCTGATACAAGATCACTTTGATTCCGAGTTTCCATGTCATGATTGAGTGTTGGGAATCTCATATTTGGATTGAGTGTTTTGAAGATTAAGAGAGAAACGAGTGGAGTATGTTGAATTTGTCAATCAAATCTTTTGTTACTGTTTGCATTCTTATTTCGATGCCGATTTTAAAGGTTGTGTGATTTATTCTTACTTGGATCTTTATGTTGTTAGGGCAATGTTTCTCTTAGGGAGCTTAATCATCATCCTTCTTCACCCTCTTCAAGGAAAAACAATTTAGTTGTGGCAAAGACTTTGGGAAAGGGGCATAAAGTTCCGTTGTTTCCTGGTTATCTTCGGCTCAAATTGCGAACTGAAGAGTCCAGTAAGAATATTATCCCTGCAGCTATAAACTATATGCATTTCTTGAGCACCTTTGTTTAGGACGTGACCCATAAATGGAGTACATTGACGTTTAATGCAATGTAACGTCGGTTTGAATGCTTTTAATTCTTACTTTTTCAGTGCAGTATCCTCTGTTCAGGCCTCTCGATTGCGGTCACTAAGACCCTGTAATGTGAAAGGCGATGACTCAAAGGAAAGCTCAAGCAGCGGCGAAAGCGTCATATTGGATGCACAAACTTTAGAGCGTGATCTAGACATTGCCATTGCAGAAGAGAACTATGCCAAAGCAGCACAAATTCGTGACAGCCTCAAACTTCTGATGCAGGATAGTCTAACTTCTGTTAGAGCAGCAAATGCACAATTCTATGAGGCATTCAAGATTGGGGATTTAGCTGCCATGCAAGCCCTATGGGCCCAAAGGAAAGAAGTCTGTTGCGTGCACCCGGGTGCATGTGGGATCTACGGTTACGAAGATGTTATGACTAGCTGGGACTATGTGTGGGCAAACTACGAATTTCCACTAGAGATTGAGCTGAAAGACGTTAATGTTTACGTTAGAGCGGATGTCGGGTATGTTTCTTGTGTGGAATTGGTTAAGACAAAGGGCAGCAGTTGGGGGGGACAGTTTGCAACAAATGTGTTTGAGAAAATTGATGGTAAATGGTTTATCTGTATTCACCATGCTTCAGTTCTTGACTTGTGAATTTTACAAACTATAATACATTTATAATGTACGACTTCCCTGCTTATATCGCATTTTCGAATTTCGGTTAACTATTTTTCTGGTTTTGAGAACCTTTACTTTCCAAATTTCTGAGCCGGAAATGATTTCCGGACACCCATTCTCTCCTTCTACACGCTCCTGTTTATTTCCGCCCTCCTTTGATTTATTCAATCTAAAAAACTAATAATAAACAAGGATGAGTAAGGATGAGACGAGGAATGGCTTGAAGCCTGATGACATCATCTAAACAGAACTGGTAAGCATGGAGAATTAGTACTGTCATATCTGAAATGCCCTAGCATAGGTATATTTACACCATCATTTCGAAGAACGGTTTTTGAGTTTTTCCCTTTACACATGGTAATGCAGTAAAACCAGCACAAAAAGAGCAACGGCTGTACTCATACATGTTTTCTGTAACAACATGCAAGTCTCCCCAAAACTTTGAGCATCCATGGATTCACACGACAAATGGATTGTTGGCTACGAGATGTTTCCTGATGTGTTTCAAACCATCGATTGTTGGACTCGAACAGCAAAAAGGATTTCCTCGAACAAAGCTAGACCCTCCCAACAGGGGACATGGGTGGATTTGGAGCATACTTTGCCGGCCCTGTCACCTGGATTCCATTACTTTGATTCAAATTCGGTTCCTGGAAATCTTTCGCTTCTGTCATGTTACTAACTTCTGAAAGATCTGATGGTTTGCAACTGCTGATTATGACAACACAGATGAAGAACGCTTGTAACAAAGAAAGTGACGTGTTGAATTCAACCGAGTAGCTTCCATCCTTCCCTGGTGCCAAACTGAAAATTGGCCTGTTCTCCTGAGCTCCCTCCTGAAATGAAATACAAAATCAACATGTAAATTGGCTAAAACACCACCATCAAATGTGTGATATTGACAGTGCTTTGCAGAAACCAAAAATCATACCTCAGCAAATAGTTCAAAAGTATCCGGAAAAGGGTAACATGCGGAAGATGTTTTTGGACTCTGACAGCATTTGTTCTGGTTTGAGAGAACATGCAGCTTACAACCAACATCCCAGCCTCCACAATCACATAACCCACCAGATTTCCAACGGTCAAGTAATGGTGAAGGTGCTCCTTTGTTCGGTGAGCTATGGACTCCACCTGGAAGTATGACTATAGTACTATCTTCCCAGCTGTAAGAGCAGATATCCTCGGATGAATCTTTGGCGCAGCCCTTCTTCTCCATAACTTCCTCGTCACACTGCTGTTCAGAATGGCTCAAGTCTTTCCTAGGTAACTTGACAACAGCAGCAGCAAGCTCCACATGTGGTACGACGCTTGGTGATTCTAGATCTGCTTGTGTTAGATCAACACCTAACATAACAGCCTCTCTTACCACACACTTGCTTAAGTCCTGCCTGTTAACATCAGATAAGTCGGAGCTAGAAACTTTCATTTGAGCAACAACATTGTAGGCATAGCGACAACTTTTGCCTTTACTTCCTTGACTCATCCAGCCACCAATTTTTTTCTTGGCTTCATTAATACAGTAAAATGTAAAATACTGGCAGAAGTCATCCTTCCCAGATGATAAATTCTTCATGGTTGCCGCAAAACAGTTGATGTTGTCAACCCAAAACTTAAACAAAGGAAGTCCATTCTTGATTGTTATTTGCAAAGATGCTTTAACCCATGATGCCTCAGCCTTCAGATTCTGTAATGACTCGCTGATATTAATTGGCTTGGGGACGAAGGAATTAAAAAGTGATTTCGGGGGTCTAACAGCTTCAGCAGAATGGTGTAGATTTGCCTCCTTGTGCTTTAATATTGGGTCTAGTAACCTTCTTAACGGGCTTGACCTAGCTCGGTTATGAGTACTTGCTTTCTCTCTGTTTGGATTATCTGGACAGTCAGAAGTTCCGGATCTCACAGGACCTGATTTGACTGTCATATATGTGGAACTTAACTGCGGAATATCTGAACTTTCCTTAAAACTTAAACTTCTACCAAGCCGTTCTAAGCTGAAGTTAAACCGGCGATGGGGGGTTGGGCTTCTGCCTTTTCTAGTTGCTAGCTCAACATCTTCTTGATCCAATGTTTTTGAAGTATCAAAACTTGAACGAGTAAGCATTTTCTCTGAACTGTTCTTCTGTACAAATTTATCTTCATATAGGAGGTCTTGTGTTTCGTTTGAGCATTGGCGCATGTGAGCTGGGACAAAGTTAAGCCCTGCACTCTTACCGTTGATTGAGCTATTCGGTACCATGTTTGATCCTGTATTAGTGTCAACTACAGAAGGCAAGGGGCATGAGTGTGGAACTTCAGAAGGAACTTCTGAACAGAGTTCTGCAAAGTCCATCTCCTTGGTAGAAAAGTCTCCCGAGAAGCTGATCTTATCAGGTTCTGTCATACACTCATCCCCTGATGCTCTTGGTTGTGAAAGCTGGAGGACCTCTGGAAAGTCATTTTGGGGCAGTTCCTTTGATGGAGAAAGAACAACGGTATTCTCCGCAGCAGGGCAGTGTTGATGAGCTGTGCTGATGTTTGATTTGTGCAATTCTTCCACCCTATTCTCAGTTTTATCATTACAAGCAATTGTCTTTCCCTTTGAACTCAGCGAGGCATCATAACTTCTGAATTTAGGCGATGGAGCTCCCTTTTCCGTAGTGATTCTTTGATCATTATTTTTCTTCTTGATATCTGATTCTGTTTCCATAGCTCGACCATCCCCTGTGCCAACCTTGTCCTTTGGACCAAATGACACTCCATACTTTTTCAAGTTTGCCGCTGCATTCCCCATTTCTGAAGGGAACTTCTTATCTGAATATTTTCCCTTTCCCTTATCAAGCATCATATCTGAGTGATTTCTTCCAAGAGACCTGGGAAAGGATATCTTTTTCTGCCCATGAATGGCATTCTTTGAAGCAGTTTTGGAGTCCTGGAAGCGCATATCTTTACGGACAGATGGTTTGACACCCTGTGAAAGGCCATTCTTTTGAGACGACTTGACACTAGAACGCGAAGAGGGTTGCTCAGCATTTGTCCCATTGCGAACGACAACAAATGATGTAGATGATCCAATAGCCCTTTCCAAGGATGACCTGCCGCTAACTTTTTCAGGAAAAGGCTTCTGCTTGTGCTTCCATTTCTCTAGTCGACCCCAATCCAAAACCCCAACATTCAAAACCTTCTCTTGGTTTTTTTCTCCTCTCGCAGGGCGTTGAAGATAACCGGGCAAGTTTGACATGTGCTTGACCAGCTCATCAACTTTAGCTGCATCATTCCCCTTCCCATTTTGACTTCCCGAAGACTTTTCTTGGTCCACAGCACCATCACCTGCATCTTTTCTTGCTTTACAATGCACATCATTCTGCTGCAAACCAACACCAGTTCTCACCTTCGCCTTCTCTACATGTCTTGTTCTTCGACTAGTTTGGCGCTGCACAACATTGTCTTGCACTTTTGAGGTACTTCCCATATCTTCAGCAGGTTCTACAAAGCCAGTATTTAGACATCAATCAGATTGCATTATAACTCTCGAGCTTCACTTTCACACATTACCGGCAAAACCATTGCGAAAATTTGCCAGGATCTAAAATTCGGCTGAAAGACCACGGTATTAAGAACAATTTTGTTTGAAGAATCGCAATCGGATGGCAGCTATACAGCGAAGAACGATATCACATTCCAATTTTGTCACAAATTATACAGATTAAGAACAAAATAAGAGAACTACGTAAAAGGAAATATAGTTATTTCATGAAACTCTTATTTCATCTTAAAAATATGGAATTTCCAAGATTAAATGCAAGATCAAAGCACATGAATGCCACCTTGAAAGCAAGAAACTCATAGATCTAACAAAGCTCATACAGAAAGGAAAAAACTTCAATCCCTTGTTTTCTGTTTGGTTGCAAAGAAAATGTAGGAAAATGCAAAACGCGCAAGAACCAAGCTAAAGCCTTTTCCTTTCGCAAGTTTCCAATGACGAGCGACGACATTTGTAGCAAAAACGATTCCTCGTCCTTTATTTTCCTTCCACTTTCTCGGCAACCAAACAGAGCACAAAATACACAAATAATTCCAAATGCGCTGACATGTTTCTCACAACGAACTTTCTAGAAACGAAAGAAAGCACAAGTTCCTTTCACAACGAAACGCATTCTCCGAAACGCGTCGTTTCCGACACAGATCCGAAACGTAACAACAAAGAGTAAAAAAACCGCGAAGCAACGTAGATTATAAGCAAAGAAATTTTTTTACCGCCAGAAGAAAAAAGCCGCGAGCGCCGCCGCTGTAGCGGTTTCGGTTCAAACGGCCGTTGTTGGGATCCGCTTGCGTGGGAAAGGCTGCGTTTTCGTTCCGCCGGAGGCGGAGGAGGCGAGCATTCAGAGGTGAGAGAGGACAGAGACAAATCTGCAACGTTCACACTGTCACTGTGCTTTTGCTGACTCTGTCAGTCTGAGCTAGAGAGAGAAAGAGAGGGAGAGGGTTTTTCGATCGGACGGCTGAGATGGAGCGAAGAGTGTATAGGTATGAGGCTATGATGTTGAAGGAGGGGTCACATCATCGTAGGGGGAGGTGGCTATCGGGGGTCCCACAAGGAGACTTCTTCCCTTATCACGGATCCCTATGAAATGTGTGGGGCCCGAAAATTTCCCTTGGCTATGTCAGCGGCCGGTCTGATTGGAGGTGGGCTTATGGCTTTAGGCACCTGGCCTATGACTAGGATTACGACTAGGATTACGACAATGTTTGGGATTTTTCTTCATTTGTTTTGGTTTTATTCGGATTTAAGGTTCCTTAACTTGGACTTAACCTTTGTTTTTTTTCTTTGTATAATCCACCCAAAGTACACATATCCATTTGTATATATGCTGTCCTTGAAACCATCAAACAAAGAAAAGTTACCTTGGTCTCATTTTGGCTGATTTATATGAATACGACTCATTCTGATTTAGCTTAAGTATCAAATTATGTATCCGAATATGATGTAACAGTTTGAGGCATGGTAAATTGGGGCAAAATATGACACCCAAGGGATCCGGCGCGCACAATTTAAGATTTGATCGGATGATTGGGTGAAGCCTAGCTTCTTTCTTTCTTGCCCCTTTTTGAATACTCTTTTATTCGGAGTGAATTCTTTTGCGCGGGAATCTAACCAAGCAAAGAAAATGCTATTAGAAAATAGATTATGCTCCTGTGAAAGTAACTACTCGTTACGAAGAGGAAAGAAGTACAACTACGGTAAACAAAAGGAAGAACCTATCCAATCGATAAAAAAAATCAATTTTGTTAATCTCAAAGGTATAGGTGATTGTTTGAATAGATGGCTGAAAAACCTAAGTCTAGTCGTTGAGGGGTTTTCAGATAGAAGTTCAGTTTAGGCCTTAATTTATGCATCAGGTTTAGTGTAGGTCTCAAAATACAAATCGAGTTCAATTTAGACTTCAAATTACACAACATAACGTCCAAATTTAGATGAGTTCGGATTAACCTTCAAACTAACATAGTCAAGCCAAATTGATTATTCTGGTAGTCAATTTGGTTTGATTTGGTTCTACCATTTCTCTTCATAAGCAATTAAGGAAATATTACATGTATCAAATATGGATTAACCCTGAGAGACATAGAAAGAGAGAGAGATCACGTCAAATTCGCATAACGTAAGAGTAAAAATAATAACAATTAAGAATAAAAATTAAGGAAGAAATTTGATTTGGTTTTGGCTGTCTCAAATAGGTTTTGAACCAAACTCGATCTAAAATTTCACCTTTTATAATGTAAAAACCAAACTAAATTGCTCGGATTAGTTTGTCCATTTACGCTCCTTTAACCATGCATCCCAACAATTTTTTGCCCATTACCTTATAATCAAAGAGAGTTATGAGAACTGATTTTTGTACTCTCATTTCCTTTTTGCGTTGCTCCTCGTTTCCTAAAATTAATTAAATAAAACAAGAATCATTAACAAAAACAAGAGAATGAATGATACAGTGTGGATTAGACAAAATCTTTGATTAATGAATCCCAATATATTCGCAGTATGACCGTGATCATGACAGAAGCAGGTTCCCTGTGAATGGCTTGACTTTCCATAAATCCATGCCTCAAATTTCAACACTATCACAGGCGGCATGGACCACGCACTACTAATACAATACTCGACAAGAGAAAAACCCTACCTCTAATAAAATGTGCGGAGAAAACAAACTTGGACCCCTTTATTTCATTTTCCGGGATTATTTCCATTTCTTTGTGATTTCTCCTTGTCATATTCCAATTTGGGCTTATTCTCGTAGACATGTTCACAACTTCACGCTCTTTTAGTTTCTTTCTTTTGCACTCATTTTCTCGTATCTTCTATTATTAGTTTGGATGATGTTATCTACATACATCGTTTTATCTTCTATATTTTTTTTTCTTCAATTTTTGACTGTCGGATTAAATGAATTAAAAAAAAATTAAATGATAGAAGTTACCAAACATGTATGTGAAGTAAAAAGATGTATATGAATATCACTACCTATTAATTTTAGCTCGAAAAGCAAAAATAAGTGCGGACGGGGGAAAATAAAGGTGCAAAAATCAAGTATTTCTTCCAATGATCTTTACTATGTGGGCGATCTTTACATTTCTGATTTGGTATTTGCCCTTTTGTGCATAGTGAAACAAGATCTCTCTCTCTCTCTCTCTCTCTCTCTCTCTCTCTCTCTATGATTAAGGGGAAAAGACTAAAGCTGAAATAAAAACACAAGGACCACAAAAGCTTCTTCTAACTCCAAGCTACTCTTGCCTTTTTAGGCTCTTGGTTTGTAGATTTGGCAATATTTTGCAGGGAGGAAATGAACCAAAACATATGCTCAGTTCATCAATTTTCTTTTATGGTATGTGTTACTGAATGGTTTAGAAAATTAACGATTAAATTTTGCACGAGAGATTTATTGAATTTTGGCAATAGTTAAATCTCACATTAAACTCATACCGGCATAAAACTCATACCACTAGGTATTATGTACCATTGTAGCCCCATATTCATATAACCAGCCTCCTATTCAGTATTTGCTTACCTCCCATTCAATATTCAAATTGCCACTTAGTACTATGGTCTAGTAGCATTCCTTTTCACCAAGAGGTCTTATGTCACACCCCGATCTCGACATACGTCTAAAATCGACACGTGACATCACTAAATACCCTTATCTCAACATACCCCACCTCCGGGATATGGCAAATCGCAACTCGAGAATCGAATTGCATAGTAATTTTTCATATACTTTATGGTTGCATCTAACCTTCTCGTTAGACTACCTACATACCCTTAATAGGGATCAAGCCATTCGTAGTTCGTCATATCACTACACTCGAATATTCATCACATAAATCGCTATGTCTCAACAATATACCACAATGCATATCATGAAATTGTAAACACGAAATTTTCCTGAAACGAAAGAGACAAGAACAACGTGCACAAACAAATATTTGTATTTGATGATTTTGGGTTACAATCTCTCTCAAATTTGATCATCTGATTCGATCTCCGTAAGGTGTTGATTTGTGGATGTTTCGTTGATCCAAGGGTCGTTGAGGCTTGATCTTGGATGAACTGTTGGAAGTTTCTTCAAGGGACCGCGGGCTTGATCTTTGAAGGTGGATTTGAGCGGATCTTCAAGGAGCCGTTGGGGCTTGATGTTAAGGATGAGTGTTTCTTTAAGGGCCGTTAAGGCTTGATCTTGAATAACGGTGATGAACGGGTCTTCAAGGGCTTTTGAGCTTGATCTTGAAAAACAGTGATGAACGGATCTTCAAGGGCTTTTGGGCTTAATCTTGAAGAACGGTTGGATGTGTGGATTTGTCGACGTTGTTGATCCAAATGGCCGTTGGGGCTTGATCTTGGATGAACGGATGATGAACGATGGTGCTTTCTTCAAGGGCCGTCGGGGCTTGATCTTGAATTGGTGGAAGTTCTTCAAGGGCCGTCAGGGCTTGATCTTGAATTGGTGGATGATTGTTGATCCAAAGGGCCGTTGGGGCTTGATCTTGGAAGAACGATGAACGAAGAACGAAGAACACTTTCTTCAAGGGCCGTCGGGGCTTGATCTTGGAGGTGGATGATTGTTGATCCAAGGGCCGTGGGGGCTTGATCTTGGAAGAACGATGAACGAAGAACGCTTTCTTCAAGGGCCGTCGGGGCTTGATCTTTAAGGTGGATGATTGTTGATCCAAGGGCCGTCGGGGCTTGATCTTGGAAGAACGATGAACGAAGAACGAAGAAGGCTTTCTTGATTCTTCGGGAACCTGGATGCTTGAGAGCTTCGAAGTTTCAGAGCTTCAGAGCTTCAAGAATTTTGCCTAATGATTTTGGTCCCCTTTTTTTTTTTCAAATGAATGAATTACCCTTCTATTTATAGAAATTTTCAAGGCCTAATTTTGAATATAATATTCCAGATGAAATAAGTCGTTTTTGCCAGGTGTTGACACGTGTCCTGTTTGATGACTTTTCCAACTTATTTTGATTTTTTTGTTTAGACACACACTACGTGTAAAATTTATGTAATACATGAGCGTTGAAACTTTGAGTTGTCGGTCAACATTGTTTTACCGAAATTTCGATGTTTACAAATGCCCCCACTTCAAGGCGCGTCGTATACATGTGCTTGTCACGTGTAGGAGATGCGTTTTGAAGTCCCTTACTGTAGATGTTGATCCAAGGGCCATCGAGGCTTGATCTTGAATTGGGCTGGAGATTTCTTCAAGGGCCGTTGAGGCTTGATCTTGAAGGTTGAAATTGGACCACAAGGAGCTTCATGTGGTAGATGATCTTTGGCTTTGGTAGTGGATGAATCGGCACGTATTTGTTTTTGCGCTTTGTTGACTTTCCACAGCTTTGATCTTGAACTGGGTTGGAGGATTTTCTGGATTCCTCCAATTGTTGATTTTCCACAACTTATTCTTGAACTAGGGTTTGATTCAAGAGTGGTAGACACTTGATCTTGAATCGGACTTGTGATTTCCTCAAGGGCCGTCGAGGCTTGATCTTGAATTTGGCTGGAAACTTCTTCAAAGGCCGTTGAGGCTTGATTATTGAAGGTTGACTCGAACACATGACAAGCAGGTACGAGGTGAAGGTGACGACTTGTTGCTTTGTTCAATCTTTCTAATTCACACCTGAGCAGTTTGGTCAGCGGTATGATCTTCAAGATTGATGGGCTCTTCTTCCAGTTGGTGACTTGATCTTTAAGGATTTGATTCAAGGATGGTGAATCGGCACGTGCAGCCCACAACGCCTCGTAAGTCAACCCAAGAATTTGAGGGTCAAAACGAGTTCGCCGTCTAGAGTGATTGCAACCCTGATGATATGAGATACTTTTGATTTTGAAGAAGTAGCGGATGAATCAGCACGTGCTTTGTTGTACTTGTCTCCACATGCTTCAAGGTATCATTTTCATTTCCTTTATCTGTTCCTCAGGCAGATGTGGCATCTTCTC